CTAGCCCAGTTCCAGGAACTGCAGGCTATCATGGAGAACCAAGTCCTTAACCATCCCCCACCCGCTCCTGCATCTGCACCCGTGCCCACCCCTGCACCTGCACCTGCACCCGCCCCCAGACCCAAGCCACCTAAGGTTGCCCCCATGCCCTTCTCAGGAGCCAGCGAGGATCTGGACCGTTTCAAAGCTGAATGTGGAATCTACTTCCATGACCACGTGCCTGAGTTCCCCACCGCCCTCTCCCAGATTCTCTTTGTGTTGTCCTACATGAAGGGAGGACCGGCAGGAGCATGGGCAACGCAGTGCACGATCTCGCTGCTGATGGCAGGGTCCCCAGCACTCACCATGGACAAGTTCAACACAGAACTCAACGACATGTTCCAGGACCCAAATCAAGAAGCCACTGCCTGGCAGAAGCTGGCGGCCATCCGACAGGGAAGCGACTCCATGGACAAGGTCATCCAGGAGTTCGAGATATTAGGGCCTGCCTCAAGACTGGGTGACATAGGGCTGGTTGACCGCTTCAAGCAAGCAATCAACGCCCAGCTCCACAAGAGCATTTACCGTTTCCACCCTATGCCCACCACCTGGGCTGAATGGAAACACGAGGCCAGCCTCCTCGACAACCAGTGGCGACATTTCCAAGCCACCCAGCCATGAGCACCCCCACCTAGACCCCCACTCCTACCAACCAGGCCCCCTCCAGCCACCACCCCCCCTACATGCGGCCCACACCCACCACCTTGCGACCTGTGCCCGCACCCGCACCCGCACCCCCAACCCCCACAACCCGTCCCATGTCGGGAACAGGTCCACAACCAATGGACCTCGACTGATTGAGGACTGACCAAAGACGGAAGGGGTTGTGTTTGCTTCAAGTGATGTCGTGATAATCTGGAACTTGCGACAATATTTCTCCAGATGAGAAAGGCGCTTGATCTTGCGCTCTTTCTTGACAAATATACACATATCTTTTGTGTGGTAAACGCAGTCCTCGGACTCAGAGGAATAAAAACTGCGGAGCTCATCTTTGAGCAATGTCCAATTGCGGTTTTCATAACCATCAAGTGTTCTGATGAACTCAGCCTCCCTCTCCTTGCAGTAGGATGTGAGGTAGAGGCACTTCTGCTTGTCTGTGAGCTGCAAAGTCTTGGCTAAAAGCTGGAATTCCTGTAAGAACTTATCAATGTTCTTCCCCTTGAACTGGGGCGCTTCCCTGCTCCGAGGGCTTGGCATACATGGAACCTTGACGACCAATGCCATGTCTGGTAGCTGTCTGGCTCGTTGGGTGACTGTCGTCGTCGTTGTCATGGGGACACAACAAGGAGGAAACTTGGTGACACTCTGGTCAAAATGCGCGAGTCTGGAATGGCAGGTTCTCTTGAGGCAACTCTGGCCAAACAAATGTCTTGGGTCACTGGCGAGGGACTCTCTGGTCACCTCTGGGTACTCTGCTGTCGCCTTGCGTCGGCAGAACAGTGCTTAATGTGAACTTGGGGAAAAACTCTGTAATAACACTTTTTGCGGCTGTCATATCCATACAATCCCGACCTCCGCTCCGGGCTCCCGGAACTCCGAACCTGACTTCCGGAGTCCTACTTCCCTTCCGTCACCTCCTCCTTGCCGACTCCCAAGAGGTTATCCCACCTCCGGCTCTGACACCACCTTTGGTCCGACTCCGGGACATTCCGGGTCCGACCCCAACCTCGACACCTTCCAGACGAGTATGCAAAACCTAAGCTCCTGACTCCGGACCTCCACTCCAGAATCCCGTTCGCGTCTCCGTCTCCGGAACCTCCGGTCTTAGCTCCGACCTCGGACTTTGACCCCACCTCCGCTTATACCCATTGTATTGGTTAGCTCATTCCATTTAATTACGTTTGCCAATATTCCGGAGTTTAACTTCCGAGTTCGGACTTTCCGGACTTACCTTGGACCTTGCAACTATTGCATTGTCCTATTCAATTCCGCTATTCTCCCTCATTCCTATTTGGGCTGCTGCTTCCTTTCTATTCAGTCAGCTAGCCATTCCCCACTCCCAACCTCCTTCCTTCCTCCTTTGAGAAACACCATTGAGTCAAACCCTTGACCCTCGGTGTTGTTCCTCTTTCCATCTCCCTTTGTCTCCTTTCGTCCTACCCTTGTTCCTTTTGATTCCGGACCCCTCCTTATATACAATGTACCTAGTAACTTGTAACCTCAGTCCCAAATCGACATGAATTCCCCCAAGAGACTTTCCCTCTGCTAGATCCAAAATTAGGGACCCCTAGGACAACCAGCAATGGCACAGCACTCCGCCTGAGTCGCTGAGGCCAAGGTCCTTCCACGCTAAGTCTCCGATTCCACTCCGGAGTCATCCGAATCCACCCGGTTCTAACAGCAGCAACTCAGGCCAAAACTTCTGGTAAGTATGTTCCAAACTAAATCGTGGGTTGTCTGTGCGTCTTGTAATGTTGGTAGATGTAAAACATGTATAAAATGAAAGTATGATGGCCACAGGCCCGGTAGGAAATTGAGTGAGCGGCACACAACACTGGGCCCCTGTAAGGACCACCAGAAATGTAAGCAGACTAGGGAGCTACCACCCTAATGAGAAAGAGAGGGGGCCTAGGGTTAGGAATGCTCAGGGGAGGTTCGGATGAGGAAGGGGGAGGAGAAATGGTCCGGGTGCGATGTGATAAAAATGATAATCTCGTAAATGTCACTGATAATCAAACTAATGGGAACTCTGTCCCTGCACTATGTCTTGAGCCTCTAGGCTTTGTATTCGGTGCTCTGGGCGCTGGCAACGTCTGCTAAAACTTCATGTTCTTGTTGGGGAGCACCTCTCTCTGTTGGGGGAGTCCTTTTTTGTAAATACAGGAAAGAGGGTAACTATAAATATAAAAGAAGTATGTGGAAATCCAAATGATCCGACGGGTTTAGGACGGCAACAGATCCACAAGGGACACTTAAGAAAAAAAGCAATATCAAAAGAATATTGGTGTTGTTAAGGAAATAAAGAACCATGGCGATCGGAACAACCGGTGAACCAAATGCGTCACTCGTAACATCGTTCGACCCGTGTTGACAAGGGCTTTCCAGCGATACCAAATTCGTCCGGATCGGTGGAGAATTGATGGAGATATGGAGGAAGTGGCGGAATATGCGGGTGACAGTTGCCCAATTTGGAAACTGATAGTTGTGCGTGGTCAGGAATGGTTTGAAAAAATCGGAAAAAATATGGGAAACGTGGAAGGGGTATATGGAACAGTGGTAGATGTGTTTCGGGAGTGGGGTGCTTGACATGGGTGGTAGAATTGCGATAATCGGCTTGTTTGCATGGTACCGGCTGTGCCCACCTATAGTGTCCGAACAGGAACAAAGGGATGACAGAAGTGGAGCAGTACTGAAGGTCATAGGTCAGAACCTGTGGTACATCCGAAAGGAGATAGGGAGGGCAAAGCCCAGAGGGGCAGGAGGATGAGGTGAAGTGGGGATGATGACTAACTGGCTAGAATGGAGAGAAGCAGCAGTCCAAATAAGGATGAGGGGAAAATGTGAAAGATACATTACAAATGGTGAAAGTGCTGAGTGTGATCTGTGGAGCTCGGAGGTTACGGAGGTTATGGAGGCAGGGTTGAAAGTCCGAGGAATGTTGGCAATGGTGTTTACATAGTATGAGGTCACCAATGCAATGGACTTAAGCCAAGGTGGAGTCAAAGTCCAAGGTCGGAACTATGATGGGATCTCGAAGCAAAGGTATGAGAAGTGTCCAAGTACAGGGTATTGGACAGCGGTGGAAGGTCATAACTTGCTGGAGGTTTGGCGGAAGAGGGGAGGAGGGAGGAGAGAGAAGAGAGGAGCAGGGAGAGGAGTGGAGGAGAGGAAAGGTGTCAGGTCCAAAGATGAGTATTGGAGCGGATGGGAGAAGGGTAGGAGAGTGACGGATGGGTGGAGGTGTCATGAGTAAGAGGAGGAGGGTGGTGAGAGGAGTGATGTTTGGTCTGAGGTGAGTATCGGAGCGGACGGAGATAGGGTAGGAGAAGGATGGAAGGGTGGAGGTGGCATGAGGGGTAAGAGGAGGGTGGTGTCAGGTCCGAAGGTGAATATCGGAATGGACGGCAGTAGGGAGGACTCTGGAGGTGGTGAATATGGGGGTCCGGGAGTCGGATTGGGATTGGGTATGTATGGATATGACACCGGGTGGGGCAGGTGTGCCCTGACATAGTGGGGCACTGGGTAGTGTTGTTAGAGCACTCAGTGGGACACTCAAACAGGAGGGAGAACAGAACTTATATCATATTGTAACTGCATGGTGGTATAAGTAGCTAAAGTAATAACAGGATATCAGACAAAAGTAATAAAGGAATAAGATGGGCATAAGCACTACATGTGGAATGTATGCAACAGTGAAACATAGAGCACATGGTGAAAAGGTAACTGATATTGGCATGATGTACGTACCGGCTGTTGGAGGAAGGGATCAAGTGATCTCCCAAACCATCAGGGAAGGGGTACCCCCCCTGGCATAACGGGCAAGTAGTGTATGGATGCATGCTAGAGGTCCTGGGTTCGATACCAGGCTTGTCCATTTTATGTCATTTGTCCAGTCACCTGGTTTACCTCATTTGGATATCACGGAGTAAGTCTGGGCAGGCAACGTGCAATTTCTTCACTGGCACATCATCATGGCTTGTTCATCCAACAGGTAGAGTGGGGGCTGGGTGGAGGCAGGTCAGGCAGGTGTGCCCTGACAGAGCCCCAACAGCTAAACTGGCAAAACTATCCATTTTTGTCACATGGTTTCGACATCAGTTTAGAATTTGAGTTTAGACTGCTGCTTAGACCTGTTTAGTGAACCATGAAACTCCCTAATACCAATTTGTCCATATTGGCGGAGAACTGATGGAAATATGGCGGAAAACATGCCTAATTTGGGAATAACAGGTCTGGGTGGTTAAATAGGGCTTGGAAAAATCAGAAAAAAAAATGGAAACACAGGAGGGGTATCTAGGACAATGGGCGACATTAAAGCCGTGGATAATCCGCCTATCCGAGGGTTAAAAACCGCGGATATTATTCTCTCAAAAGCCAAATCTGCGGATATCCGGGTGCCATCCGATCCGCTAGGGGCCCTACATTATTCTCAAGGGAAAGGAGCAACAGGAGCAAGGGTATATGTCTATGGTGCAGAGATGGAGGGTCTCGCGCAAGGCTCAGAATTCCTTGTCTCTTGGCTCGAAAACAATGTCCCCAAGGCAGGCCGGTTGCTAAGAAGGGGTTGGCATCAGGTGGATATCCTGAGAGAGGATGATAATGAATCACCATCACTTGGGGCTGGTTGGTGATTGCCGACTCATGTGCTCGGAAGTCGGGCATGTGACTAAAAAGGCGGCAGGGCTCGTTGGGAATCTTGATCCTGAAGAGGTGAATAACTCCGTAAGCCAGAGATGCGTTCAACGAAACAACTTCTGTCGCCTCAAGCTTGGCGAGGCTCAGAAGGGTGTGACGATACCTCTAATCAAGGGAGGTGACCAGCCTCCAATGTTGGAATAGAGATGGTCGTAGTCCGATGTGCACCGACTTCACATAATAACGTCTCCGGATCCCTCACAGTACTATGAAGAGTCTTGTAGAACATGTAAAGAAGGGTACAGTGACTCCGGCTATGGCTTAAGAGAGGCTGATTAGGTGGGGTCGTGCGTCCTCGTCATCGCTGGCTCATCCAACACTAGCGAAGTTCTCACCGGAATGTCCCCATTTCCGGCGCACGAGTTCTCTGAAAGGCGATCTCTGCATTATAGAGTTTGATGAAATGATGATCATTATTCCGAGCGTATCTTACGACGGTACTATTTTCTGAACATCAACAGGTCCTGTGACGAGGCAGCTAGCGTCTAGATGCCGATGATTTCCGCATTGGTCATTGTGCTTCGCCAGATCCTGCTGGCTGGCACATGGGCAACGGGCAGTAGCCCCGGTCCTTGAAGCGGCAAAAGCCCTCTGGATCCACTCGATTATAGCACTGCGTCGTCTGAACGCCGCCGGAAAGTGGTACACACTCTCCACTTCTTCCATCTGAGTCCAGGAAGAAATCGCTCTTAGGGGAGTCATTCAACAATATGGTAACGTTTTTACCGCAAAGCGACGCGGTGATTGCGATGTCGCGACCGTAGAAGCTGCATCTCTGACCTTCCACTTCTTGATCGAAGATTATCGCTGCAGCGGCGCAAGTGTCTTTTGGGGAAATATTGGTTAAGCAGGAGCACAATCCATTTGACTTCGGCTCACCATTGCCTGAGGGGACGACCCCCCAAGATCCTGACATCCAGTTGTCGCCTCTGTCGTGGCAAGTTAATTCGCCATAGTGGATATCAGCTGCGACAACAAGAACTAGAGTGATTGGGACAAAAACGTTCCAGAATCGCATTGTGACTTCTGGAGAAATGCTGCTATACTGGCAGGTAATGTGCGTGGCGTCAGTAGGTACGTAACATGAATCAAGGAGTACTTACCACAACTTTCAGTGTATGCGCTTAGAGGGCTGGGAGCGCACCCCTCAGAGATTATATAGGATATTCCAGTGTCTAAGAAGAACTATAAAACAGGGGGAACGGCCGGAACCCGGGCGGTCCCGGCCCCTGGATTGTCCCCCGATAATGTATGAAATCCATGAGTGAGGAGATGGAAGCAGAGACGCAAATGAATATATACTTACTTCAAGTACGCGCATCTGATGCGATTGAACCCGTTGAGTGCTAAATTCCATCCGTGACTGGACTCGGACGGACACGGGCCACGGGCCCACATCAGCAAAGTCGGACCAGAGGTTTTGATGGGATGCTGTGGTTGCTAGCAGTCACTACTGTGTCGACCATTTTCTCAGCCTAGTCAGCCATGTAATGACAGCCTATGGAGGTAACGGAGGGCTAGAGTTGCGGACTCACTCTCCGGTATGAGAACTATATTAAAATAAGAATCTAACCTCGGTCTCCGGGATGAAGAACTGAGGAAAAAAGTAAAACAAACCGAAATAATGGTAATTGTTGTTCAATGACCTCATTTCACGAGACTAATCACGGGGAAACGACCGGAATCGGCCCAGCTGATGCTGCAACCTCTCTTGCTCGATCGGACCCCGCTGCGCCTGTCTCAGCACCGCGCTCACCCCTTTGCCACCCTATCTTTCAAGAGCCACTGCGCAAACCTGACCATTTGATGGACCCAGGAACCGTGCCTCAGTCATACGCTGGGTTTTCTGGTGCGGATGCGCGAAGCAGATTATACCAGTAGAGGTACGTACTGAACTTCACTCATCATGAGAATGCTCACGATAATTCAGGCTGTGTTTATAAAAAGGGCTTCCATGATGCCCCCTTTCCTCTCCTTTTGCATCTCTCATGTCTGACTAGTTTTAAAGAAAGGGTGCTCATTCGATCCATGCAAATTTAGGCATGTCTGCTGGGATTGCAGTGGAGACCACCCCCATTTCAAATGCACAAGGGAGGCTGGCCAAAAGACGAATGCCTGAGGAACTTTCTGTGGGACTTGAGCATGCCAGGTGGCAGCCCCGACACATGCATTTTATATTCAGTCACAATGACCATGGATGCACACTTTTTGCCACATACATGGAAAGTGTGCAGCCAATCCCATCGGTCCTGCCTGGTGACTACAGATATAAAGACATTTCTCACACAATCACTAAGCACCCATCCTTGTTCAAAATCATCACACCCATTGATGTTGACCACTTTGAGAGTTTATGTCAGGGCACACCCACCTGACCCGGGTCCACCTGGTCCACCCGGCCACACCTCTCCTGCTACCCTGCTGCCCATCCTTCCCCTTCCTCCTCCCCTTTCTTTCTTTCTCTCTCCCTTTCTTTTCCTCTTTCTTCCCCCCTCTTTATTTCACTCTTCCCACCATTCTCTTCCTGTTTATTCCTTCTATTTACATGGACCACTTTCCCTTGCATCAATGTACTATTGACCCATCCGGTCCAGACACCCCAGACGGCTCCCTGCTGTGCCCAGCACGCGCGCCTGCACCAGATGCCCTCGGGATCCCCCACGGTGTCAGGGCACACCCGCCTGACCCGGCCCCACCCGGCCCCACTTCACCCAGTACCCCGCCACCCAGTCTTCCCCTACCTCCTCCCCCCTTCCTCTTCCTTTCTTTCTCCATTCCACTCTCTCTTTACTTATTCCACCTCCTCTTTATTTCCTCTTTATTCTACGCAGACGACCTTTCCTTGTATCGATGTACCATTGACCCACCCGCAGCGCGCTCACAACACGCCCAGCCCGGGCGCCTCGGGCGACCCCCGCTATGTCCAGCTCGCACGTTCACAGCGGACGCCCTCGGGATCCCCCACGGGGACACCCGGGTGACTATGGCTGTATGCGAGGATGACGTGGCACCCATCATGTGACCTAAGCTGCATGTATATAAACATACCTGAAGTGGGAACCGAAGAAGTAGCCTTCTTCTCACCCTTTTCCACTTCAGGTAAGTAACATAGTACTCCCTTTTAATAACAATAACACCCTTTTCCACTTCAGTCTAAGTGGCCAGGGACTGCCTCCTGAGCCGGGCCCGCCAGTACACACGCCCGCTCCACACCCCACGAGGCTTCTAGTGTCGGGCGTTTCCCCCGGGCCTCCTCTACCCCGGACACGTCCCTGACACACGGGGACACCTGGATGGCTGCGGCTGTCTCCAAGGATGATGTGGCACCCGTCATGTGACTCAAGCCGCATGTACATAAATGTACCTGAAGTGGGAACCGAAGAAGTAACCTTCTTCTCACCTTTTCCACTTCAGGTAAGCTAGTATAATTTTCCCTTTCAATAATAATTCACCTTTTCCACTTCAGTATAAGTGGCCAGGGACTGCTGTCCCACATCGGGCCTGCCAGCATGCATGCTCACTTCGCACCCCAAGAGGGTCCCTCTGCCGGGCGCTACATCTGGGCCCCCTCCACCCCAGATGCGTCCCTGACAGTTTACTAGTCACTCATCCAAATCATGCACTTGTAGAGTCAATGTGCTTCAGATTGTGCCATTGTCAGGGCACACCCACCTGACCTGGCTCCACCTGGCCCAACCTGACCCAGTACCCTGCTGTCCACCCCTCCTCACCTCCTCCCCCTTCCCCTTCCCTCTGCTTCCTCACCTTCTGTCAGGGCACACACCCTGACTAGCCCGGACCCGGACCCGCGTCCGGACCCGCTTCCACCCACCGCGCTTCCCGCACGCGCGCACGCTCCGTGCGCCGCATGCTCCGGGCCCGGTTCTACTCCTTCATGTGACTTCCGGGTATCCCCGGAAGTTTTGCTGATATTGTGGCCACTGTGGGAAGATGAGAAGTTAGCTTCCTTCTCATCTTCTTACCCACAGTAGGCAAGTGTATATACTTGCCCTTCTTTTATACCATCTTCTTACCCACAGTAGGATTGTGCCCTGGATAGGGCTGGCCAGACCAGAGGCTGTGGGCCATAGGGGAGGGTCATGGGGACCCGGGAGTCGTCCCCTGACACCTTCCTCCTATCTTACTTCTTTATTTTCTCTTTATTCTACATGGATGACCTTCTTTGTATCAATGTACCATTGACCCATCTGCAGCGCGCCCACCATACACCTGACCCAGGCACCTCAGGCAACTTTTCGCTGTGCCCAGTATGTGTGCCTGCACCGGATGCCCTCGGGATCTCCCACAGAGATACCCAGGTGGTTACAGTTGTGTGCAAGGGTGACGTGGCACCTGTTATGTGATCTAAGCCACATGTATATAAACGAACTTGAAGTGGGAACTGAAGAAGTAGCCTTCTTCTCAACCTTCCACTTCAGGTAAGTAGTACAGTATTTCTCCTTTAATGATAATAACAACTTTCCACTTCAGTCTAAGTGGCCAAGGACCACTGTCCCACATTGGGCCTGTCAGTACACATGCCCAATCTTCCCCCTGCCAGGCTCTCAGCCCTGGATGCTACACCTGGGCTCCCTCGACCCTGGACGAGTCCCTTACAGCCATGGCCTATGGCCTTTTGCAGACACTGATGATCCTAAGCTGCAACCCGAGGGTATAGTTTCGCAGCCCACAGGCCTGCCTAACCTGGAGGATGAGTCAATCAAGTTTCTTTGGCGACAACATGATGCCAAGATAGCTCTTGGTTGATACTCCAAATCATTCGGAGCATCCCTACTACCAGGAATGATGGCACAGCCTGTGTTTACCTCATCCCAACTGAAGGAGGTTTCTGTCAGGGCACACCCGCCTGACCTGGTTCCACCTGGGCCCACCCAGGCCCACCTCACCCGCTCCCCGCTACCCATCCTTCCTCCTTCCTCCTTCCTCCCTCTTCCCCCTCTTCCCTTTCCTCCCTTTTCCCTCTTTCCTCCTTCTCCTTTATTTCATTCTCCCTTTCTGTTTATTCTTTCTATTTATGTGGACCACCTTCCCTTGTATCATTGTACTGTTGACCCATCTGGCTCGGACACCCCAGATGACTTCCTGCTACACCTAGCACACATGCCTGCAGCGGATGCCCTCAG